GTTCCCTTCCTCCTCTCCTTAACACTGGGCATACCAGAGCAAAGAAAGCTCCTGCTAGAATCTTTTCAATCGGTTGGGGGTGTGACCAACCCCAAAAGAGGGCGGGGTCGGCAATAGGCTCACTGGATAAAAAAAATTCATTATTTTACTTGTTGTTGTGCAATTACCTCATTGGGTAGAGCCCTTCATTATTTTACTTGTTGTTGTGCAATTATCTCATTGGGTAGAGCCCTCCTTCAATCGCGAAGTATATGGAGGGTGTCAAAATCACTACTGACAAAATTTGAGTTTATTCCATAAAATGTGGCGGTTACTTTGTTCACTATTGATGCAACCACCACCATTAGATCATTTGTGATATGATGGATGGAAAACACTTTGCCGTGATTTTCGGTGGGAGGTCTTTGTTTCTTTTTTTTTCTTTTGTCTTTCTCTCGTTTTCTCTGCCCAGAAATTCGTAATGAACCTGTCAGCCCGCGGTCACTCTGTGTCACACTGGATCAGCCACACTCTTATCCGACTGCTAATAGGACCTCGCCACTGTACCCGTATGCTACTCGTGCACTAGGGGACCTGTACAACTTTTTTTTTTTTTTTAATCCGATAGTGTTTCTATTTTTTTTCTCCACATCTAATAAGAATATGTGGATGATGCTCAACCAAATGTTGCTCGTTTTGTGTTGCTGCATAACACTTTTTTTTTTCAGATTTTTTTTTTTTTTTTTCCTCGTACGGGGGCGTATAAAACGTACATATTCCCGTTGAGGTTCTTGTACAGATCCCGTACAGATATTACCTGTGCATTTCGTACGGAAAGGCCCCGTACGTGTACGTTATGCAACGTAGTTAAAAAGTGAAAAAAAAAAAAAAAAAGTAAGTGGGCGAGCACATTTTGACACCGCCAGCTTTGGCGAGTTTTTTTCTTTTTGGCTTAGCCAAATGACTTCAAAATTTATAGGCATGTTCCTCACATCATAGAGAACTCACCAAAAAAAATTCAAAAAACAAAACTTATTTTTAGACCCATAAATATTTTTTGGCGGGGGCCGAACGTGTTCGGGTTTGAATCCCGAACGGGACCCCGAATGCCCGTACTTACGAAGGTTGGCCTGGGGACCTCCGTACGTACCGGCTGGTGACCCTGTATATATACATATATGTACATATATATATATATATTAATTGCAGGGGTTGAGGAGGGGCGGGTGCTATTGCAGATCTTTGAGAGCATTGTGATATGTTTGGGGAAATGCATTTGGGTTCGGGCCAGGGTAGTTATGTAGGTGGTCGGCAGCTTCAGACCCATCGGCTGCCGACCAGCGGACAATAGGCGCCGTCGGCGCTGACCGGTCGGCGACCGGTAGGCACCCCGCACATTCTCTTTTTTTTTTTTTTCGGCGGAGTCCTGCCGGACCAGTAACGCGTCGTCTGCCTTCCTGATGGACTTTGAAGAAAGGTAACGCGCCGTCGGACTTCTTGACGGCCTTCACAATGGCCTTCGAAGAAAGGAGTGAAGCTCTCCCTGCATCACCATGCCTGACGAAGCTGCCCCTCGATAGCTCCACTTGATGACGCCACCCCTTGACATGGGAAGTGCAGCCTGCCCGGACCTGCACCGATTTCCACACTCCCCTCCCCTCCTCTTCTTCTTCTTCTTCGTTTGTATTCTTCCTCCTCGTTTTCTTCATCTTCCTCCTCCTTCTCCTCTTCTTCTCCTCCTCCTCCTCTCTCTCTCTCTCTCTCTCTCTCTCTCTCTCTCTCTCTCTCTCTCTCTCTCTCTTTTCTCCTCTTTTTCTTCTTCTTCCTCCTCTTCTTCTTCTTCCTCCTCCTCTCCTTCTCTTCTTGTTCTTCCTCCTCTCCTGCTTGGAAA